AGGTTATTTTTAACCTGGTATTTGTTGTGTGGTTTGTCCGATGTCAGGTGACGTAAACATTAAAGATACTGAACGTTGTTTTGTTAACTAAGCGCTGCCTGTAGGACTTCTGTAACAACTCCACTCCTCAAGTATTGTTGGGGGTTTCCTATGTCAGCTGTTTTACAAGGCAGTGAGTTGCGAGATGCTAGGTTGTTTGAAATACCTTTTCTTTTACAAATTGATTGTGCTGAGGCACACTGAAGGCTTGAGACAAGGTTTTATTGCTGCATCTATCACTGGCTTATAATTAGACTTAAACTTACTGTTGTGTCCACTGAAAGCAGTAGATTTACTAATCACTTTTCTAAGAGGAGCATTGTGTTAATAACTCTTTGGCTTGCTGCTTCAATTTCTCTACCATTCCTGATCACTTTTTACACTGGGTCCCTATTTACAATGAATAAGTTAAGTACAATGTGTTGCATAAACATGTCTTCACAGTTTGTCACTTTAATTACTGATGCTAAGCATACATTATTTCTGATAACATTCTGGTTTTTAAGACTAAATCTAAATTCAGAGGAGTTTAGTGTCGAGTAAAGTACTGCAGTTTATTAAACTAAACAGCCTTTTGTCAAGATGATCTCAGACTTGTTGCTCACCGCCTGCCCCCTCCGTGCAATTGGCTTTTGGTGCTCTTTTGCATAGTTAAAAATATCAGGAACTAGCAAATTATGTTTTGCTTTGTGATGGCTCGTTGAGGGAGTGGCTGATGTTTCAGTGCAATATCTCTTGCTTTCCTTGCGCTAGCTTGTCAGATGAACGGGGAGATACTGTGCCTTGCAATATATGTCAGAAGAAAATGATGTAGTTAGACCTATCAATCTTTTAGGAGTATTGTCGCCATTCTTCCATGCTTGAAATCTAACAAAAAGTTTTACAGGAAGTTTGACTGCATTTATATTTTATTCACTGTGAAACACACTTGCAGAAGCTAAAGGATCTGTACATATTGCCTACTAGCAATAACCACATGCATATATGTTTTCTTTTCACCTCATTGGATCAGCTTAATAACAAGAAAAGCTTCTGCCTAACAGGGTGGATATTTCGGTGGCAAAATGCCCATATCTGTGATGCTGAGAGGAAGAGATAATGCTATTACTGGCCATCAGCTTTTTTCTTTCTTTTGGGGATAAATATATTCAAATAATTGGTGGCAATTTTTTTAGGAAAGAAGAAACTGAAGTAATTAATTTTAAATTGCAAATTACTTGGTGTGCAACAGCTCGCTCATCCTCCTTTCCCCTTTCCCCCTAAACGTTTCTGAAAACAATCATTCTTGGAGAAGTAGGTGATGTCTTCCTCAGAGACCAAGGGATGACAGACACCAAATGCTGGCTGCAAAGAGCACTGTGATTCAATAGCATATGTAACCATTGAACTAAAGAGGACTTAATTTGAATTGTGTACCTGTGTGCATGTAAGTGCCTTTTTGAACTGGGGCCTGTGGTTCCTAAGTGGAAGCATTTAATGCTCAAAAGCAGATAAACAGAAATAAATTGAAGCACTTACATGCATCTTATCATTGGTATTTTGGGGTCATATATTTTTGAAGCCTGTATTACTGGAGTGTGTGACTGGTATCACCTAAATTCTAAGCATGTAAGTAGTTGAACTGCATGGCGTTTGGCATCTTTAGCAGTTTGGAGACTGTGGGGTTTTGGGGTTCTGTGTGAAATAATTCTGTCCCACAAGTGCCAGTAACTGTATGGATGTCTTTGCCTTCTCACAGCCCTTTAACCTATATCTGGGATAAAAAAACCACTAAGGGAGCTTGGCCCAACAGTGACCATTTAGTAGGGTTGAACCAATCGCCTTGGATGATAAACTACTTCCAGTCAGACTTGTTTGGTCGATTTGCTACAGGGAAGGTCACCTTAACAAGGAATTTGACTTGGCAGGGGTCACTGATGGAAGATCATGGGACAGGACAGAAGCCTTACAAGGCATAGGAGAGCAGGAGCTGTGCTTTTTGCTGGCCTAGCCCATTTAGGGTTACTCAGCTGGTGGATAAATGATTGTATTGGGATCTTTAAGATAGGGAATTATGCAAGCTTTCTCGAATGTGAAGAGAATATACCTTGGGAAAATGCCTTGGAGCCTCAGGATTCAAGGGCAGTGCCAAGATTAAGTTAAAACACTGCAAATGCTGCCTCAAACGTGTACTACAGCCTGCTCTTCTGATAACACTTCCAGGGCAGGTTAACAAGGTGTGCATGGCCAGAATTTATCCCTGTCTGGTTTGCTAGAGCAAGTTGTTTATCTGACTGTCCAGCTTGAACAGAAACTGTAGAGTTTGGGAAGAGATGGGAAGTTACCAGAATAGAGGGGTTCATACAGCTACGAACTTGCTGTAGAAAAATGGGAGGTAAAACTTGTGGCTTAACTGAGGTGGTTCTACAGCGACAAGTGGTAGAGCTAGAGTTAATGGTATTTGCACTTGCATATCGTGACCTCCACTGATGCTGGTATCAGGGCAAGTTTAGGAGTTTCTGAATTTTGTGCTTTACTTTTAAAGTGATAAGGAAAGCAAACCAACTGTGACACACTAACAATGAGGGACAGGAGACAAAGTGGGTGGTCTTGCTCAGTAAGTGTCAGATACAGTTCTTCAGAGGTGTTAAATAAGTGTATGTGTTTGTGTTTGGGCGTACCTTTGGTACTCTTTGCAAGGAAGAGAACTGCTGTGGCGCACAACTGCCTTGTATTACTTGAATAGCATTGACCATCCCTCAGAGCACGTCAGGGTTAAGGTTTATGAAGGAATCTTTCACAATGGTTTTTCTTGTGTAACTGAGCTGCTGCAGGCACCAAGTCTTGCAGCCTAGCTCACAGTAAAACTCTTACTGCTACAAATAAATTGCCAAGAATTCCTGTTCCTTTGCCTTGTGATGCGTCAGGAGTATGCAAGACGAGCCAGGTATTCGAGTAAATTACCTCAGAGTACACACTGAGGAGTAGTAGGGCACAAAGGAGAGTATAGGCTTGCTTGTTGGATTAACAGGTGTGGGGAGCTGGTATTTCACCTTGCATAGAGCAATCTTAGACTCGGTGTCAGTTGTTTGACCTTGCTTAATTTAGTCCTAGAACAGTTGTTGCAACGTAACAAGAAATGAGGAACCAGAGAAGCCAGTCAGAATAACCTTCTTGAATTCAGGAACTAAGACTAAGGAAATCTTTATATTTTTTTTTTTTAAAATACATTCAAAGGCTGAAAAAAAGACAGCTAAAGCATTTCAGTGTTAAATAGTAATGGAATTAATCTCTCACTCAAGTAGTACAAGCTGCCAAACTTTATGCTGGCAAACTGAAAATCCCAAGTTGGACAGTTGCTGAATCAGCTATTTCTGCCTTTCTTTATCAACACTAAGAACACAGAATGTGTGTGAAGTTCGAACCTGAAAACAGTGATTTGCCAGGATCTGGACTTTGTGTATGAATCTGCAGGAGTAAATGTGCTTTTGTTCAGGGAACTCAAAGCACTTTCAGAGGAACATATATCTGTGTGGTATTGGATGATTCATACAGTTTGTGTGGATCTGAAATTTGGGGGTTGAGCTGGTGAGTTGTCTACTCTTGCAATGGAAACCACTCTGTGTGCATGCAGATCTAGAATATGAGCTTAATAAGAGGTGGCTGACAGTTGTGGCTTCTGTATCACTTCCTGAACCCAGGGAAATTGGTAGTATGTGAAGTGCTATTAGAGAAGTACATTCTAGTCTTTTAAGACATTTTTATCATTTAAATGAAGAAGGTCTACTTAGAATAATATATTTTTTTCTGCCACTATTTAGAAAGTGACCTTAGGCCTGTGGTAGCACACATCTTTAATATGGCACAGTGAGTTGTGCCATATTAAAAGCTCTTGGAGCAAAATGAGTCTGTTCAGTTTAGTTGGTTAGTTGCCAGCTATGAGTTTATTATAACCAATGTCCATAGTAAATTTAGGGGAGTGCATGAGTATAGGTAGATTTGAAAAATTAAAGTGTTCTTACCTCCTAATAATGCATGCATTTTCCACGCATGTACACATGTAAGCCTCAGATTGGTGACACTGTGTATTTTTACCACATGTTTCTAAATATTTTTTTGTCAGCTTAGTAGGTTATCACTAATTATGAAGCCACCTTCTTGTCCCAGGAAAGAAGGTTAGGTTAACAGGTTTTATAAAATTGCATTTTTTTCTTCCATGTAGCATTCAGGATAGGAATGGAAGGGAAAGTTGCGTTTGTTCCTCACCTTGTATGTAGCCTCACTAATTCTGATTAATTTCATTGTTGCTTAGAGATTTGAGTAGTAAAATTGACCACCATCCTACGGGTCTCACTGTGTGCTGTTCCTGGGGAGAAAATGAGGCTGACAGTAATGGAATTGTCTATCTGCAAATTCAGAGGATGCCATTGCAGCAGTTAAATTCTGTGAGGTTGGCAGCATAAGCATAAAGCTTATAACTTATGCAAGATATAAATGTTTCTTGGCTTTAAATGCATATCAGTATTGTACAGCAGTTGTCTGCTGTATATGACCCCAAAATACCAATGATAAGATGGATCAGTCATCTTAGCAAAGACAGCTTCCCGTTTCTTAAAGGTGGAAAGGACGCGTTTTTTAAAATTGAGTATGTCACTTTTTACCACTGCCTTGAAGATACAATCCATTTGATTTCTGGAAATACAATAACCCAAACTTTCACTGGATTGTCAATAAGCAGACAAAGTAAGTAAGGACGTTTTCAGTAAATGCTTCAGTCCAACCTGCTCGAGGTATATTTGAGAGAAAGCAGCAGGTGTGAATGACTGGTGTATTTTTCCACTTGTTTTACTAGATCAAAAATGCTGCATAGTAACTGGTCCAATAACCTGTGAATTTTTGTTTATTTTAAAGACAATCTCTTTCTCCCAGAGCAAAATCATAATTTTTTAAGAATATATTTGTTTTCTTTCCTGCAGGGGTTCTGCGGTCGCCAAAATAATTGGCAATAATGTAAAAAAATTGCAAAAGTTTGCTTCCACAGTGAAGATGTGGGTCTTTGAGGAGAATATTAATGGGAGAAAACTGACAGATATCATAAATAATGAACATGAAAATGTAAAATATCTCCCTGGATACAAGCTGCCAGATAATGTGGTAAGGCTTAGAAGCTAAATTCTGATTATGGAGCAGAGGGAATATTGCTCATGCTGTGAATGGAGGTGGAAATTTGTTTTGTTAACACCTTTAGGCTTTATAATGTTTCAGAGTGTATGCTGTTACTGATGAGATCAGAGATTTGAACAAGTAAAATTAGGAAATTACGCAGGTAAGTAAATCCAACGCACTGTACTCTTTAGGTTTTTTCTTTTTTTTTCCTCCGGTCTCACTATTGGCTTTATGTCACTTCAGCTTCTATGTAGGGATTTTTAGGGAAACAAATGTGAAAACAAGGGCAAGATTAACAGCTTTGACCATACTCATTAAAAAAAAATTTGGGCCTCAACATTGGAAGGAAACTGGCTGGTCAGTGAGAATTGAAGGGATTTCAAGTACTCTGAAACTCTTAGAAGGTATCACAGGATGAGAACTAGAGTGTTTCTCAGGCAAACTGCAACCCATTTGTAGTTTTTGTGGGTCTCAGTTGCATTTCAGCTGTGTGCAGTCAGATCAGCATGTTAGATGTAGCATTGCTGGAGCAGAACAGTAGGACTCCAGATCTGTTCTGTGTTGGTGTAACATGATGGTGGGTGGGCAGGTGGTGACTCTTGCCTCAAGAACATAGGAAGAGGCTGCAGCCACTGACAATTCAGGAGAGATTTTGGGCAGGAAGAACATGAATTGCCACTCATGCAGTTTTCTCTTTAACAATAATGCTGAAATCCCATTTCCCTAGCCTTCAGCAAGTGCGGTGTTTCTGCTGTCCACTATCTGCTCCTTCAAATTTGTTCTCTTTATCAATAGGTTGAGCTTATTGCTGCATTTTAAACCTGAGTGTTATTTTAAGATGGTCATCAAGTGTTAGGAAAAGTGGAGCCTGGCAAGTGACTTCAAAGTAGGTCACCTTCTTAAAGGGTAACCAAAATCTATGAGTACAGAGAAAGGGAACATAAACTAGGAGCTGTAAGAGGCCTGGAGAAGAAATTTAAGTGTGTAAGGAACTAAATACAAACTACTTTTCTACATGCAATAATTTGTCAAAATTTGAGATTATTTTGTCAAAGAGAAGGCAGCTTGTTATTTTATATTTTCTTACTCAAAGTACTTGTTTGAATATTAGGAAACATTTTGATTTTTCATGGCACTAACCATGCTGGTGGCTGTGAAGGTGCCCCTTTCAAGACATAAAATAGCTTGTTTGAAAGCTTAATTTCTTTTGGTTTTCTGGGAAGTTTGTGTTACTGCTTATTTTCAATGATGAAGCACAGTAGTTTGTAGCATTCAGTATAAATCCAAAATGTGCTTTTACTTACCAGGTAACACTTGTGTGTAGTGTTAATTTTAAGAAGTTATGTGGCTTTTCTCTCCCGTAACTACACAGGTTGCTGTGCCAAACCTTAATGAAGCTGTACAGGATGCAGACTTGCTAGTTTTCGTCATTCCTCACCAGTTCATTCATAAAGTCTGCGATGAAATCACAGGACGGGTACCCAAGAAAGCGCTCGGTATAACTCTCATAAAGGTATGATAAATACTATGCATGAATAACAGAGAACGTGCCATGGAATCTTCTAAAACAAGATGGCTTGATATTTTGATATAAAAAGTCTCTTTGCATTATTCACTTGATTGTTCTTGAAACCTTTCTAGATGTAAGATTGGAATTTGTCTCGATCATTAGTGGATTGTTATGCGGTGTTTTATTTTAGGCTAGCACTTGCAGGAACAGGAAAATGAGTCTGTTCACAAGACTTTTAAAGAGAAGGAGGGTGTGAATATGTTTTGCACCACCAAGCTTTCTAATCTTTTATTTGTGGTTTCCAAACACATCATTAGATGAAGAAAAGAGCACAAGCATAATGCTTGATTGTTAGCGCACATCCCACACGCTGGGTTGATCATTTCAAGAACTGCTGAGAGAATTTCATGTGACTGAGAGGATAGTGCTCTTGTTCACGTCAAACACTGTGTTGCAACAAGAGAGTCTGCTCAGCATGGCCCAAAAAGACAGTTTGAACATAAGAAATAGGAAGAGGCAGAGGTGCAGGAAGTGTGCCACTGGAGTGTTTTTGGGTTTGGTGGCAGGAGAATTTTTAAATGTGGATGAGCTGGTTTGTGGGGTTGGTTTTTTTTCTTCTTCTGTGTGTTTAGCGGCAAAGAATAAGATATTCCCACAAGGTTTGGAAGATTCTAGTTTGTTGTTGCTTTGTACTTAGTTGCGAGTAGGCCATTTTCTCAGCACACATTCTCTTGTTTACTGTCATTTCTGGAAAATTATGCGTTTATGGATCTGTGCTTAAAAAGAATAGAAACCCCCTATCACTACTTACTGCAAGCTTGTCTCTTCAGTTTGGCTGACTAAGCCCATCAAAACTGTTTTGTTTTGTCGCTGCTGACCTAATATATTGCTGAGATATATGTAAAAGTAGTGCTTCCCGAGCGCACTTGCTGCATTTTGTAGATAAACTTTTCATATTGCAGAAGGATAAAATAAGGCAGTGTTAAAAGAGCTGAAGCATAGCATCAAAACCACACAACTGTCCTAGGTGACTTTAAGTTTATTGCTTTGAAGTTGTCCGTTTATGCTGCTTTCTTCTGTAAGATCAAGATAAACTTTGTTCTCCTTTAATTTGTTGAATATAATTTATGTTCTCATGTCCTTAGTGATAGGAATAGCTCTAATGAAATCGGTGGAGTAAATGAGGATTTTTGTCAACAGATCTGAAGTCAGATTCTGTATTCCTGTATTCCCTTGGGATTATTGCTCAGGGTACTGATTACCAATGCTTTAATGGAGTGTTGATTAATGGCTATGTTTAAGAAAAAAAAGGGGGGGAAATACTTACCTTAAAAAAAGGGAAAAGAAAAAAAAGGAATCCAAACCCCAAACAAAAAAGCCCCAACAAAACAAAAAGACTGAACTTAGTGTAGGGTGAGTAAAATAGTGGCACCTGCCATGCAAAGCAGAGTTGATTACTAGGCAGGTTCCCAGTGTCACGTTGGGACACTGCATCAGTAGGTGGTCTTTTGAAAGAAATGGTGTCAGGCCCCTTAATATTTTTGCAGGAGAATGCAAAGTACATGTTAGCTTTTATGAAAAGGCATAACCGTGCGTCATTAGAAATATCATTTCAGAAGAAAGGGCAGAGATTTAACGCCACAATGAAACTAAGTAGTAGAGGCAGAAATGCATTCTTTCTTCTACTTTTGCAGCTTCTTTATGCATGCTGCTTTCATCAAAGTCATATTTTTAGTGATCTCATTATGCTCAACACTAATGCTATTGAAGCGGCTTTTGTTAACTTTGGCAGTTAAAGTGCAGTTCTACTCTGAAAAATGTCATTAGTGGGACCTCTTGTTTCTGTGCTTTCTAAATTGCTTGGCAAATAAGCAGTGTGTCATCTTTTAGTCTTTTTTTGTCTTTATTTTTTTTCTTTTTTTGACAGTCTGATCTTCAAGCAGAGCCTAACATCTGATTATAAAACTGAGTCTTTGGGAAATAAAGACATTTGTCTGCTGGTTAATCTGTGTTCCCATTGAAACATTTGCAGCTATATTGCTTTACATAAGTTCTGATCACTGGTGTCTGAAAACCTAACAAATCATTGTGTGGGTGTGGGGGGAGGAACCGTGTACGTGTTCCGATGCGGTACAGCAGTGAGCACAGGAAGCAGGGTAAGTGGAGGTCATTCAGAATACTTTTCAGGCAGCCTCAACATCAATCTCATTTTCATCTACCTATACACGAGCCCTAGGGATTGCTCTGGCAGGCTTGTTAGGATGCAAGTGATAAGACCACAGAATTGGACTTGCATTGCCTGGGGATCATTGCTGCCCAGTGGAAATTCCCATGTTGGAGCCTTTGTTTTTGGGGGAGGGTTTTTTTCTCCTGTCATCTATCATTCAGTATTGCGTTTAACTGCAAGAAACAGGTGCAGCTCTCCCTGACTTTGTCAGAAGTTACATCTGTTTCATAGCAGAGCTGAATTTGGCACCCAAGCCTTTCTGATCTTCTTTCACTTGATGAATAATTGTTGTGTACGTATTCACGCTTTTGAAGTTGTTCCCAATGTGTACGTGCTTTTTCGTTTATTAATTGCCTGCTTAGAAGGTGGGGCCCTACAGTTATTTTGTGGGGACATTTTTGACACTGTGAGGGAAAAATACAACATGTATATGTGTGCTTGCTTTCAGATTCTTTCTGTATGCCTCACTAAAGATGAGAAAGCAGAGCTGTGCATTAAGTGATACAGATTGAAAAATAATGGAGCAATGCAAGCACTAGTTTAATTGGCCGGGTTTATACAGTCATTTCTGCATGTCTCTTGATTGCACCATGTTATTTAAAGAGTAGCACCTCTGATCTGCGGAAATGCAAATTATTGCCTGCCTGAAATGTCACTACTGGCAATGTACAAATGTGTGTGTATGTGGAAGTAGTAAAGGATCATGCTGCCTTTTTGCCTTTAAGCCAGAATTCAAAATTACCGATCCCCAAAAGTACCAAATCCCCAATATTAAAAACCAGTACTATATAAAAGGTGGTATACTGTGGGAAGGAAAGACCATTTCACTAGCTTGTCTGCCAGCGGCTCTTCTAAAAACTCGAAAGGAGTGTGCATTTAGCAGGCTGGGAGAAAAGGGTTTTGTGAGAAGTAAGTGGTCTCCTTTGGTGTTCTTGGTTCAGTCAATTCAGGGTATCAGACTCTCTTCTCCATTGCATCATTGATCTCTGGGGTGGTCTTAAATTATTCTCGGTTCAGTTCAGCTTTCTACATATCTGTGAACAGCTGTTCCAATTGTAATAGTATTCAAAATGGTTAAACTGGGTTTCTCTAGCAAACTGTTGTTGGTATTATACACAAGGGAGTCTGTCTCCACTATTTCCTTTCAGATACCTCTTCACAGAACAGGTTATTGGGTTGTCATTTTGTGAGTTCTGGTGCAACTTCAAAGCCAAGTGCAGGCCTGATTCACAACTGATGGATTGCTGATGCTTCACTGGTTTTAGTAAGGATACACCGAAAATAAGCAGCTGAGATTCTGAACTAACAAAGCTGAATATTCAGCGCTTCTTAGAGTCAGGTCTTTGATTGAGCATAGAATGAAAACTGTTACCATCGTCTAGAGTTTAGTCCTAATTCTTAAGGTGCTACCTCCTGTGAAAAGAAGACAGCTTGGAGATGTCACAACAATAGCCGAAGTTTCATGAGTAGCAAGTCTTGTCATCTTTAGTCTCTGAATAGGCCTTGTTGCACTTCTGACCCATGGACAAGACTAATTGTGGTGTGCTTTCTTCTCTCCTGTGTCTAATGAATGACTTTTTAGTAATTCCCTTTAATGTTGCTTGCAGGGAATAGATGAAGGCCCGGAGGGACTCAAGCTGATCTCAGACATTATTCGAGAGAAGATGGGAATAGACATCAGTGTGCTGATGGGTGCTAACATTGCCAATGAGGTGGCTGCAGAGAAATTCTGTGAAACCACAATAGGTACTGTTCTGAGTAATAAGAATGTTTAAAACATGCTCCTGTCCTCACAGTTGGACACCAAAAAGATAAAATGTTACTGTTTTCAACATTAGCTGGCTGTTATCAGAAACTGTTGGGTGGTTTTTATTTTAAGGTTGAATTTCCTAGAATGTTTATACGTACAAAAGTACTAGGACAATACCAGGGATAGAGGGAGAGGGAGGAGTGCAGTTTTACCTAGTCTTCCTAGGGTTGTGACCTTAGCAGGTGTAATACTAAGCATGCTTTTTATCACCCTCTACATGACAGCTTTATTTTATTACTGTGCTTAAGATTTGTCTTGGGTCTTCATGGCTTTATACGGATAAATGATTATATATTCTGTACTCCAGCTCAGGTGTTATGGTCACAGATAATACCTTTATGCATGTTTGGGTTGTGAGGTTTTTTTAAGGTATCATTATCATATTTTAATTTCTCAAAATAATTAGTTCCCCCAAAAGGTAGACATGGTTTTAGTTCTGTGTTAAGGTCTGCACACCTTTGCAGCATAATGTGCCTAGTCTTGGATTTCATAGTGTCTAGATAGACATATGTGCGTGTGTATACTCATACAGGTGGTCGTTCATAATATAGCACAGAGCTCATGTTATTTTTTCAGTGTTAATTTTTAGAATTTTGTGCATTTTTAGCTTTGTAAACTGTCATTAACAGCTTTTGCATTGAACTTATTTTCGAATCGTTGAATTAACTTCTTGGTGCTTAGAAACATTTGTCAGTGGCAGTATGCTCAATTAATAAAACATCCTTGACATGCCTTTATCAGTAGATATTTTTCTGGAATGCAGGGCCTTAAAATAATTGATAGACTTACACCTACTATATTTTTAATTCACCTTTGGTTTATTATTAACTGTTCTTTTTAAAGAGAATAATCAAAAAAAGAGAAAATAGAGAATTAATTGAATTGTTATTTAGAATCTGTTGCTGAGCAGACAATGAATTATGAAGAAGTCCAGGGTAACTCAGTGCAAAACTTTTAAGTGCGGTGTAGACATGTTCATACTTACTTAAAACAGGAGTCTGTTTAGGACAGAGATAGAATAACCTTATCTCTGCTTTTAAGTCTTTTGGCTTGCACAAGAAAGGCTAAATAACACCCAAATAAGTTATTCATATTTTAGCGTTGCTTTCTCTCTCAACAGGCAGCAAAATCTTGGAAAATGGCCTTCTCTTCAAAGAACTCCTGCAGACTCCAAACTTCCGAATAACTGTAGTAGATGATGCAGATACAGTTGAACTTTGTGGTGCTCTGAAGGTAAGATTAGCAGTCTGCAGTTGGTACACAGATGGAACAGTGATCTTTGTAGAAAAAATAGGGTCTTTTAATTTAAAGAATTAAGTTTATTGTGCTTCATGTAATATATAAAACTGCTACATAACATTTCCAGAAGAAACAGATGGGAGATTAGGGAGTAGCATGTTCTAGAGTTGGCTTTTAGACCCTTGTCTCACCATCTCCCAAGTTCTCTTTCTACATATTTCTACATCTTTCATCTAACTAGTCAACGTATTTCTAAATCCATTTTAGCCTCTTTTCTTTTTGCAACAGTGTGTTTACAAAAAGAAAGGGAGAAGGAAGTTGGCATTAATCCTTTGTGTCTGTTGACAAAACTATTTCCTTCTTTGTTGACTTAGGCAATGTGAGCACTCTTGTATTTTGTGGACCTGCATAAGGTTTGTGTGGATAATCACATACAGAAATGACCTGAATAGTCATTTCAGATAGTTACTCATCTGAATTTTTTGGTGACAAAATGAATGCTGACAGGAAGCAAAGGCTAGCTTAAACATATTCTTATTGCTACTTTTTTCAGGTTAATTTACAGGCCTTTTGTGAAAGGAAGGTATTAGTCACTTGGCACTCTGGCCCATGGTACTGTAGTTCATGTTGACTGATATCTATCATGGAAGCATTTCTGATGGGTGTAGTGGTTTAGTAGATAATTTGGCTTACTTTTTTATTTTTTATGTTTTGCATAAATATTTTGTATTGAGTTGTTTTCTCTATTGAAATTGCATGTAAACTACAGCATTCACTTGCAGAGCTACCAAGCCAATGAATGGTGTCTTTAAGCTAAGGAGTTCTGATTCCTAGCAAGTAGAAGTAGAATCAGGAAGTAGATTGATAGCTATAATATAATTTTTGGCGTACTGGTGTTCTTGATAATTTTGTCTTGAGAGCTGTCATACTGGAAGTCCTGAGAAGGAGGAGGTCATGGGTCTCTGCACTGGGCTAATGGAATGCACTTTGGTGTGACATGCTTTGGAGTTACTGTATTTATAGCGATTTCTCAAGATTGTGGAGCTCATAATTTGGCCCCATAGCCATTGCTTTAAAATGCTGTGGTGATGTGGGAGGTTAGCAGGAAAGAAATCCCTGTATATAGACTCATGAAATTAGTCAAAATGTTTTACAGGTTTATTTTGCTTTGAAATCTGCTCAGCCTGATGGTTTCTGGCTAGCTTAAGTTCTTGCTTGATAGAGGAGTTCTGTCCCAGGTAATTTTTATTCCAGATAAATCTCGTGAAAGTGTGCTAGAGATGAGCATGCCCATCAAACTGAGCTACTAGTCAGCGGATACTCAAACTCCACTGTAAAGGCCCAGGTCAGGCAAGATACCAGTATCTCTTTGGAAGTGCAGAAGAATTTAAATAAATTGTTGTTCTTGACCTGGGAACATATTGAGGTGAAACTTGTGTATTTTCTTTATATCCTTGTTTTGTTCCTCCCTTCTGCTTCATTATTCATCATGCATCCTGCAGACTGAACTCTAGTTACATTTCTAAAAAGCTATATATATTCTGTGTGCTCTGGTCATTTGTTTTTTTGCAGTATATTTTGTTAACTGAGTTGAGACTTCCAAAGATGTGCATGGTATGAGCTCTAAACAAAATGTGAATTAAGGATAGATTAAGTTGTTTAAAAATGCTCTGGGTTTCTTGCCCAATTAAAAGGCATGAACCGCTATAAAGTAGCGTAGATCAGTCATGCTAGTATAGGTGACGTTTTTTAAACATACAACTCTTCCTTAATCACAAAGAAAATGTTATTAAAATAATACTTTTAACAGTAATTTTTCGTTCAAAACCCTTTCTAGTTTAATCCTAAATCTTGTGCTGACAGCATGTAAATAATTTCCTGATCTGTTTTTAACTCGGACATCACAAAATTTTATGCATTGGGAACATGTATGCCTCTGAAAGAAAATGAAGCTAAGATTAAACAGATGGGTATGATTTTATTGCCTGTGCAAACCAAAATGCAAAGCTCAGATGTGAATAGTGGAATGTAAACTTGAGCTTTTTTTCTTAGAAGTTGTACATTCTTAGTATTAGGAGAATTGTTTGCTGAGGGTAACAATGAGCACTTTGCTTTTTTGGTTAATCTGATAATCTTTGTAATAAAAAATGTGGAAAATAAGCATCTTTTCATGTGATTGTTTTTAGGGAAAAATCTAAAGTGTAGCTTCTGTCAGCTGACAGTTACTTTATTAAAGTGGGAAAGTTACATTGTGACAAAATAGTAAAAATTAGCACTATTTCGGAAGATGCCAGTGTCACCTTGTGTGAAGAGACAGGAATAAAAAGAGAGGTTCTAGTCTCTTTTCTATAGCAGTGCCAATTCAAAATGTCATCAGCGTCATTGCAAACTACAGCTTAGAGGAGAGAAGCAAGCAGGCAGACATGCCGGTCCAGACGGTCTTTTTGGATGTGGAATAGTAAAAGCAACTCCTGTATTGGTATGTAAAGGATGAGAAATAGTACACCATGAGAAACAGTACATTTTCCCAGCTTCTGCATTTTTCTATAAATAACCAGCTTGGGAGAAGAAGACTTTTGTGGTATTTCTGGCATAATAGACTAGATCTTGTTAAAAGTCTATACTTAACCTTGCTCTTTCTTTCTGCAAGCCTTTCTAAGCAGGGAAGATTTTTGATATAGAAGATTGCCTAAAGCCTGAGAAAAAATAACAGAGTGCTCTGAGCACAGCTTTCCCATACAATAATGATAATTTTAGGTTTGAAATTTGTTTTTCTTAAGAGTATTTGAATTCAGACTGTAATAATAGGTATTGCAGCTGGGTGATCATGAAAGAACATGTGCTTGATTGCTATTTACATACATATATATGCATATATATATATATAAAATATCCACTTCATTTACTGTATTTTTTGTGACAATGGGCTGATGGAGATGTATTGAAGTATAGAAATCAGCGCAGTGGAGCTGCGGCCTTGCATCAGCTTGGAGGCTGGCTGAATAGGCAGTAGTAGTCACTTCACAAAATCTGGTGCTACTGGGGATGAACAGCTGTCTACAGTAACTTGTTGGCTGTAGGAAAAAAAAGTGCTTGGCATGTTTTTTTCTATCCAGATTTTTTTATTTTGAGGACTGAAGCACATTTCACATTTATTTATTGCCCTTTTCTAAGGGTTGAAGTCAGAAATTAATAAACTTCAAATTTGGATAGTTCTGTTTCAAGGTATCCAGTTGGCTTTACAGGCAGCGTGATCCAAGGCCACCTACAAATTCCAGCTGCCATTTGCCAGACAATGAAGGGTCCTTCCTAGGAAGTGCTTAAAGGTTATGACGCCTCTGTAAGAGGAGTATGTGCAGCTATGCATACATATGGATGTGCTCCCCGATGCTGGTGAATGCGATACTGCAGAGTAGCACAGACCCGAAGTTATAACCTCTGAAGTGTCCTTAGAGTCTTTAGTGTGTGGTCTTGCAATCAAACAGCACAGATGTGAGGCAAGACGGAGCTGGTGTATGAACCTCGCAGCGTACTTGAGAGGCAATATAAACATTGGCAGCTGCACTCTTGGGTGTAAACTGTACTAGAATCACTTACCCAGTGCAGCAGTGCCAGGGGTGAGTGTGAGTGAAGAAGAGAGAATCTGATCTCTAGATATGGCAAAATGGCCATGCTCCAGCTGCCTGATACATATGTTCAGGGATCTGGAGAGTTAAAAACCCTCAAGTGGCAGCAGTGAAGGACCGAGGCAAATGTAGGAAGGAGAAGGAGGAGCAGCTGTGGCTGCCTTTCAGGTTGCTTCAGGCCCATCTCTAAATCTTCTGGCTCCAGCTTAGCTGTAAGGAAAGAAGTAAGAAGTGTAACGATGATTTATTGTTTACCAGGTTATGAAACCCAGCACTATTACTTGCAAAGGTCTTGCCAAGTGTGTTTATGGCAGTCAGTGTTGTATAGTCAGCTTCGGTACTGTAGTTGTTGATTGTGGCAATTACTCTTTCCTGAGATTAAGTGAAAAGTGAAATCCACTATTTACGTTCAAGTTTGCCAGGAGCAAGCAAGCAGTTTATGCTTAACCTCTCTGACAGTCTTGCTGATACTGTGTTTGATTTGTTGAGTCTTCATTTGACCTCTCTCAGCCATGATGTGAACCAAAGAGCTCCCAGTTCATGTATCAGCAGGAGGGAAAGGCTGTGCTGAGCTGTGACACTACCTCAAGGAAAGCTGGACGTCCCAGGTGAATTAACATTTCTGCTTAGTTCTCTAATGATCCATTTCATTATGGAGAGGTAATGGTTGCCTCAGAAATGGCCTCAGAAGCTGTCTTCATGAGCACTCCACAAACTTACTGTAAACAGAGTAGGACTGTAAATGGATGTTTCTGAGCACTAACTGTAAGAGCAATCTGTCAGCAAAGTCTGCAGACTTGTTAGCCTTGGTTTCTTGGTCATCTATTGACCTTGCATTTGTGACTTCTGGCATGTTTGCAGCAGGTCATGTGCAAGTAAAAGACACTTTTTCTCATTTGGTCTGACACATACTGTGAGCACTGCCTGGCATCACTACTTCTTTTCTGGAGCATAGCTTCACTATCCCGGTGATAAAATAACTGAATCTAGTCCGTGTTCGTGATCTAGAAAAACAAGGACTAAGACTAATGCCAGCTTCTGGATACCAGACCAGCTAAAGATGCACCTGTTAGTGCAAAGTATTTTAGTAGCTTAAAACCATGTGCAAATAAAAACACCCTGTGCATCTTGCTTACAGGATGCGTGGTTTAATGTAAAAAGCTGTTAATGCTGAGATGGGGGAAATGTGTTTGCTCAAGCGTGAATTGGTTTTGAGAGCTCTGAATCCCTCAGGCCAAGAGGACCATTGTATTGCAGTCATTTTGGTGTTTCTGTGACAGTATTTTAGAACCTTTGGAACAACAGGTTTGTCTGTAGGCTAAAGTTGTCCTTGCATATTGGGCTCTCAGACTTCCATGTTGTGTATGTAAATACAGGGAGTCTTAGAGCTCGCAGAAGCATGGGCTCTTTCCTCTCGCACAAATCTGTACCCATTGCATTTGCAGGAACTCTTGTAACTTCAGGTGTAGGCTTTGGTAGTGTCAGTATTCAGGATCAACCATATCAGATACAGAAAGATGTTTTTGACAGATGGATATGTGACTCTCCCCGCTCAGTCTGCTTCTCAGAGGATCGCTCTAGTGCTTGTGCCATTAGGCTCTTGTGTGTTAATTTGTTCTTTTCTTATGCATCTTCCTGAAACAAACTAGGCTTAGTGCCTGCACCCAGAGATTTCCGAGTACTAAGCTGCCTGGTTTGGTCTTGTTTTGGACTGAAAGATGACTCGGTCTCAAGTTTTGTGAGATTTTTTTGTTGTTGTTTTGTTTTAGAAGGAGTGGCTCATCTTTCAGTAAGGTGTAACTTTCAATGTGGTATAACTCAGTTCTCTACAGTATATTAGACACAAGAGAGTTGTCATAGATTCTTCAAGGATTTAAATGGAACTATATGGTAAACCTTGTAAATTCATAGTTGTGGCCTGAGGGTTATGTAGACCGGGATGTAACAGTCCTCCTAGGCATGTGTGTGTGTTCTAGAGCATAATCATTTGTCTTGTTTCCTCATTATTTGCGAACTATGTGTAAGAAAATACAATGTGGACATTGTACAAACAAGGCGCTTAGTGTTTCAGAGTTAGACTCACAGCTTCCCTTCTTCCTTACCACATTTCCTCATAAGTAGCTAGGCTTGGTGTGACTTGCTTAAAACAATAGTTCTGTTGCTCCAAAGACAAACATTGCAAAAGGTAGAAGCAGACAACAAAATACCAGCGGCCAAATCATACTGTAAATTGTGATTGGGTAGCCTGCTTCAAAGGGGAAAGGAAAGTCAAAGCAAGCAAAGTTGGAGAGAAGGGGAAGCTTTAGTATTGGAGCGTTCAAGAAGTACATACAAAAAGCCCAGAGGTTGTTCAAAAATGTTTTTGTTTATAGCTGAGCATCAAACACTTGCAGACTTCACATATGTGTAAATTCCATTTAACTGGGTTATCCCATCTGAAAACTTCGTAAATACCTGTTTGACTTCCTCTTGCTTTGACACCAGATGAACAAATATTGGGGGTTGCTAAGGGAGAGGTTCCTGATGAAAATATACCTTGACTGAATCACCACAGCCAAGATTTAAGCCAAGATGATCTAAAGTACCAGCTTTAAAAGTCTGGTCGTCTTTTGCTGCTTCCAATCTGATGTTGAGATACCTGTCTGCAATTTCTAAGGTCACCATTAGACCTCAGCTCGCTGCTTGAAAAGAAATGACTCATCCTCTGACCTCATTTGATTCAGAGTCACCTAGCTATGACTGACCACACAGCACTGCAGCTGCCTGCACTTTTTGGTTCTTACAGTCCAAAAACCAAAACAAAAATGGTTGTTAATCAACTTGTTGCTTTCATTAGCAACTTCTGACTGTTGCTGTTTCTTCAGCAACATTAAAGTTGGGTGGGTTCGTTGGTTGGTTTTTTCCCCTGTGTCAGGTGCTACATTAGGTGCCATAATGTTGTTTGTCCTTTGGTTTGTGTTGAGGTCCCTGCTGCTGTTGTTGCATGCAGGAAGATATTAGTACATCTATTGCTTCCTTGTTTGCTTTATCAGTACATCAGAACACCATCTTTTTTGGAATGTTTTATCTTTGGGAGGGAATTTTTTATTTTCTTTTTGTTAGGGAGAAACTAACCATGGCTAGTCTCTGACTCCCGGGCCAGAAAATAGCTTTTATAGTCACTTCACTCAAATGTCTCTCAACTAATCTCTATGTTTGTAAACCGAAGAAAGGACTGTATAGCTGGTTGTTCATGAAGAACGAGCACATTCTTTGTAGAAGGCTGTCACCAGGTCTAAGGGAAAAAAAAAAACCCACACATTAGGAAAGGTCATTCTGTGTCATGAACCTTCTGGGAATCCTTGATTAACTGCTACTGTTATAGGAACTCTGCCTACTTAAAAGAGCTGAATACTGTTAGCTTGGCTGAATTTGGTCCCTTAGCATATCAGCATGGAAGTCAATAAATATTTCTTAGATTCAATATTACTTTAATCATAAAGAAAATATAGATAAAAAGGCTGTGGGATGTCAGTCTAACTTTACCCCTACCTCAGGGCAGGAACAGCTCAATTAGATAAAACCTTCTTTGGGTGTAGTGTAACCCTTTTGTTCTTAAAGATAGTCAATAATAATAGCTCCACAGCCTCTGAGGCGACTTGTTCCAGAGCTTTAACTATGCTTTTATCCTTGGAAATACTTTGTAATGGAAGACTTGTAATTTTTTTTTTCTTTAAGGTTATCCCATAGACCTCAAAATCCCCAAATCAAAAAAAAAAACAAACCCAAAGAAACCAAAACTACAACCTAATCTTACACTAGTAAAGTGTTTGCAGTTCTTAAGAACATCTGCACTCTGTCTTTTGGTGTCTCCTGGGATTCTGTAAGCAGTAATAGACTCGTTTCCCGTATGTTTTCTCTCTTCTCATTAGAATATAGTAGCAGTAGGAGCTGGGTTCTGTGATGGCCTTTGCTGCGGTGACAATACCAAAGCTGCCGTTATTCGCCTTGGCCTAATGGAGATGATCGCCTTTGCCAGAATTTTTTGCAAAGGGCAGGTGTCTACTGCCACTTTCCTGGAGAGCTGTGGAGTTGCTGATCTCATCACAACGTGTTACGGTGGCCGGAATCGACGTGTAGCAGAAGCATTCGTTAAAACTGGAAAGGTACTTTATTCACTGAGTGAGATTCGTTGTTGCAAGTACTGGCACTGCTGGTTTGTTGGAGTGATAGTACAGGTATCTGAGAGATGCTAGGTGTACTGGGGGAGTACCCTTCTCTTTCCTCTCATTTTTGAGTGTTTTACAAGGCTAGAGTGAGTGTAAAGGTGTTAAAAAGAAGGGGTGATTAAAAAAAAAACTGTAGAGGGAAGATGTTGGGAGATGCAGATTTAAGGAGAATATTTATAGCAAGAATATAGGAGAATATTATATGTGCTCACTCAAGGTGAGTTTTGAGAAAGGAAAAACCCTCAGTAACATCTTTTTTTTTCCATCCAGATGATGTTGTGAGGCTTATGAAAACTTTATCATAGTTCTCCTTTTCTTCCCTTTTTTTTCCCCCTCTGTTGTTCAGTCTATTGAAGAATTGGAGCAAGAAATGTTGAATGGTCAGAAACTGCAAGGACCACAGACTTCTGCAGAAGTGTTTCGCATCCTCAAGCAGAAAGGAATGCTGGAAAAGTGAGTAAGAACAGATAAAGGAAGTTCCGCATACCTCTTTTTATCTCCATAACTTTTTCTGCGTATTTGATGTTGATATCTTCATGAAGGTAATAGCCGAAAAGAAGATCACTGTAATAAGCTTAATGTAGCTTAATCCCCAGTTAAAATCACAGGGAGAGGTGAATAGAACCTCAAAATAATATTGCTGTAGGTAGAGCTAATATTGTGATGTTAAACTTGTGAATGCCCTTCTGTTTGCAGAATTTATTGTTGCATCTGCTATCACAGAAAAGCACAGTGAGTGTGTTTTAACATGTGAAAAGAATAAAATGCATGAAAATAGAAGCTGAGCTTCCTAAAGAGACTTGTGAACAGGCTCTACAGCTCACTTAGTAGTAGTAAATTCATTACTTCTCTCCAAGGAAAGGAGCTTTGTTACTGAGGTCTGTGTAGGTGATCATCTGAATAGAGTGGCCGCTTCTGTCCACTTGGATCCTAGCTCAGATACCGCGGCTCTCTTTCCTAATGCGACATCCAGTTTGGTCTAGGATAAAACCTGCCATCTGCTTGTGTAGGTCAGGTGGTTTATGTGGTATGAAATTAAGCAGGTTGTCCGGGCTTGTTCATTTGTATGCGAGTCAGAACACATGTGATTCCTAAAGCCACACACACAGTTGGCTCCTTATGAGATTAAGGGATGCACCTAGCTGTTCCTGTTTGTAGAGGAGGCAAGATCAGGAAATAAATGACTGCCAGTCAGAAGACAAAGCCTTGTTACTTTTTTTCCCAAAGCAGTTTTTAAAGTCTAGTTTTAATGGATCAGCTGCATTAAATTACTTATTTTTTAACATTTTCTTTGGGTATAAGGCACCTAAGTCTGTCTTTGCAGTGTACAGTAATTAAGCTAACTGCAGAAAAAAATCTAATTAAAATGTTGCCTTCAGTCTTCACTGTTTATGATTCCCTAAATGAGACAGGATGCTGTGTTTGGGGTTTTTTTTGATTGGGTGGGATAGAAATCTTACAACAAATAGAACGCTTTATAGAAGACTTTGGGTGGTGTTTCTAATGAAACGTACGAAAACAGAGAGTTGCTAATTTCTGTTTGGTATACCAACATCTCTGTGTCAGTTCTTCATAAAAGGTCTCATTGAACAAGACCTTTGAAAGCAACTTTCAAAGTGCTTTTCAAAAACTTTATTGCTACTGCTTTAAAACACAAAACACAGGAAAACAGCCATGCTTTTCAAAGTGAAGAGGTAAGAGTCTAGTAAGAGTAAAATTTCATACTCTTATCCTACAACAAGAGTGCCAAGGCTACGTAGAAATATGCAAAAGTCAAAGTTCAGCAGAAGAACGTTGGTAGCAAGGTTGATGCCTAATAATATTTACAGTACAATTATTCTTTTTCATTTTAACAGTTGGAGAACTAGCCCTCTTAATGTGCTCAGGCATAAGAGGCATTTGGAGTTTGCTGGCCATGAACCTCGAGGCAGGCAGTCTCGATTCTGCTTTCCCCATGTGAAGTGTGGCAAACCTGTTTGAGAAGGGTCACATGTTTTGTGGCCACGTCTAGTAAAATCTCACATAAGTGTAACAAATTTTATTTTAGTGCCTACCTTTACGTTTTTATGGTAAAAGCAAATTCAGCCCACCCCCAGCCCAGTATATTGTACAAAGTGAGTGATAAGTGAGGCTTGTTAATAAATGCAGAAGTCTGTGTAAATTTTTTTTCCATATATTTCCTAGTAAGGGTTTTGCAACCTAAACCGTCTAGGATTGGATTTGACAGAGCAGCTGTGTGGCTATATGCTAATTTTGGTTCCACCAATGAAATAAAAACAAAAATCAAGGCAGTTGGATTGACCTAAAATAGTTTTTGCTATTGCTGCTATTTTAATCTTGTTCTCCACAAAAATAAACCAAAAGAAGTGGACGTGTGTCCATGAAGCATAAAATGTTTCCGATAAAAATGAAATTCTGCATTTTGAATTGAGCACTTGTAACAAAAGCCGTAGAAACGATGGACTGAATTCACAAGCGTGTCCATTCCCCCAATTCTTTTCCCCAGTCGTGCAAAGTGCCGCATTCAGCCTAGTACAAACCCTGTGTCTGCCGCTGAGAATGCAGTAGTCGCCACGCTGTAACGGTGCTCCTGGCGGCTCCTGGCTTCTCGCGTGACCTCTGGTTCGCTCTGAGGTCGCAAGCTCAGAGCCATGTGGTAATGCCAGAGTTACTTCAATGTAACACATGACAGCAGGGTGCGTGGGCAAGCACATGTGGTGCTCAGTACTGGCTGGAGTTCTGCTCAATACTGCCTCTGTGCCTTACAGGGAAAGCTTTAGAGTGGGTGACTGATGGGACCGCTTTCCTGAGGAGAAAGTCCTAGTCCAGGTGTATTCTGAATCACTCAGAAATTAACTATTTCAGCATCTCCAATGAGCCTTAGTTTTTATTTCAGTGAAAATAACAGAGTGTGTTTGGTTGAAATTTATGAATGTAAAAGACCACACCAAAATGGCATATTTATTTTGGTGAACAGATAATTAATCCCTAAAATCACCAGGCTCTGTATGAAAATGGGAGTTGTCTGGCTGTCACTGGCCAGGATGGACAGAAAGGAAATACAGATTCCTGTAAAGTGTCTTGGCTGTAACAAGCCTTCTGATTATTCAGAGAAGCCTGAATAATTTGGGGGTTGTTGGAAACGTGGCCAATTTAAAAAAAGAAGAAAAGAAGAGATAGAATTTAGTGTTTCAAAATCAATTCAATGTTTAATTTTGGACTCTTATTAAAACCTTGACCTTCAGTTTCTTCTTGAGTATCTTTGTGTCATATTCTGCAACTGTATTATCAAATTATTGCTCAGAGATAATGCATAACTGATGTGCCAGTCATCCTTTTTAACCATAGATGAGTACAGCTATAAGAATGTCAAGGAAAGATGCAAGTGTTTTTAATTTTTAAATTTTTTAAGTCACGTAACGGTTGTGCCATACATAATGAATGCTGCAGGCTCCATTATAGCTAGCTAGGCTTCTGAGTGACTCATTTTAAGACATGGCATGTAGGTTCTGTTTTTATGCAGTGCTTTTCAGCCCAGTGTTAGCGCTTGACAAATACTAAAAGAAATTGATTTTTCAGTCTCTGTCTTTTCCCTCCCTCCCTCCCTCCCTTTTCCCTCCATCTCCTATTTCTTTCATTTAAGAAAGTGTTACACAATAAACTTAACGCTGCGTTTGCTTTCTCCGTCCTCAGGTTTCCACTATTCACTGCTGTTTATCAAATCTGCTATGAAGGAAAACCTGTCAGAGAGATGATATCCTGCCTTCAAAGTCATCCAGAGCACATATAAAATCAATCAGGCCATCGTACTAATGCAGCTTTCTGCCTTTCAAATTTATGTCTGGGTTCAAGTGGATGTATTATTGAGCTTCGTTCAAAGCCGCTCACTAGGCAACAGTAACAACGGGAACGTCTCTGAGCGTGTACCGGTGTTCATTATACAGCCTAGTTTGACATAGCATGCAGTCTTGGCATGGTGATTGTCATTTTACTGGCTAAAATGCAACTGTTTTAAGATACACAATGCAAAAGTTGCACTTCACATCTAGTGTGTATACACAAGTGTACTTTGTGTGTGTTCCTGTACCATGAAACACCATGTTTTGTTGTCTCTTATTAAGGCCTAGTCCAAAATCCACTGGACAGTGGGGGAAGAATCCCACTGGTTTTAATGGAGACTGAACCAAGCCTATAACCTTGAAATATTAGGAGTCTTTCTATTAGAACTTGGTTTTATTCTTGTATACACAATGAATTTTTAACATTTTGCATGCTTATGATTATATTAATTTAAGCAATATTAATGCAAAACAAGTGGTAGCAGTTATTCAGGGGGCTACAGGGATACTTTAATGAACTCTAGTGAAGAATATTTTAATTTTTGAAGGTCTTTAAAACTGTCAGACTGTTTTGAAACCAATTTCTAAGTGAATTTAATGTTTTAAATTACACTGTTTTAAAGGGAATATGCTAGAGGGGGATCATTACCTCCCCTTCTGTTTTTTAATCCTTGAATTTTTGTATTTCTCTGTTTCTCCCTTGCTGTTCCCAGGTGTTAGGCTCTTCTAGAATCCCATTCCCCAAAACAAGAGGGAGATGTTGATCTGGGGAATCTGAACCGTGGAGCCTAGGGTTCATTTTAGTGTTGTACCTGTGGTCGTTCTTCACTGGTATTGTTTGGTGGGTGGGGAAGGATACTGTTGGCTACCCACTGCTCAGAATTGTCATGCTGTGTTTCTAGCTTCACCATCAGCTACAAAGTGTTGCACTCCACACAACACTCCAAGGAATGTCTGGGGAATTCCCTGGTAGATTGTGTTTCTGTTGTCAGAAGGGTTTTGTGCCAGTACACTGACTGCATTCATTTCAGTGCCTGCAAGTGACTGACATGTCAACTGGACTGTAGTCCTGAACCAACCTCCCCAGAGAACCGGTGAATTCTGATGTTACTCTTTCACTGGACAAAACTTCAATGGTGCTGGATCAAGTCCTTTCAACCGTCTCCCAGAAAGCTTCTCAAAGGCATCTGTCTTTTATTCCACAGGCATCTCAACTAGGTTTTTTTCAGGCATCTTTGCTTCATAAGGGAGGTTAATATTATTTATTACTGGAAAATCTGTGATTTTATGGAGTTTGGGGGTGGGGTTGGCTTGGGTATTTTTATTTTTTTTTCACAAAGGTTGATGCAAGAGAAGATACATAAATGAAATCTGTCTTGCTTTTCTTGCATACCAAACTGATTTTCTCGGTAAAGCATACGCTAGGTACCTAGGGAGTGGACTCCATCTTGCAGCTGGGAGACAAGGGTCAGCATCGAGCCTTACAGAGCTCAACAAGAATGCCCATCTGCTCTGAATACCCACTCCAAACCTCTGAGCAGTATCAGAACTGTTGTTCACTGTTCTCGGTGACGGTTTAGACCAGAAATCGTGAGCACAAGCCCATCCCAAAGCTTTAAGTTCTCGTTCCAAACTTGCTAAATCAAAGTGGACGCCTGGGAATAATTGTCATACTTAAGTAGCCTGGATTACTCTGAAACAGGCGAGCATTGGGGCAGCTGGGTGTAGACAGGAAGACGCTTCAGCTCAGGGGTACCATTTCTTGTGCTCCTATCATGTTTTGCATTAATTTTTGGGAGCTCTTATGAATGTCATCAGATAACTCACCGATGAGAAAATTTATTTGCCTTATTTCTGGTTTAGTGCTGAATATAACAGGTGGCTAGAGGTCAAGTAACGTCAGATGTTTAGGGCAATTGAGATCGCTGGTAGAGCTGACCTGGAGTGTGCACTCTGCTTAGACAATTAAAAGGACGTGTTAGGATCGGAAGCGCTGTTACACTAACGCACACGTGGAGCATACACTCCCCATTACTGCATAACTTTCAGTGTGTCTGCTTGTGCTTTTTGTTGTGACTTTTTTTTTAATATCAAGCTGAATGGCTTTGCCTTTATATGTGTATATATCCATATATATATATATAAACTTTTTTTTACATGCAGTATGTAGAACAGTAGCATTTTGTAAGATACATAAAGGGCTATATGAGCTAAATGTGGTAAATTAATATATATTTTAAAATTATTTCTTTATTATTCCAATACTACTTCTACCACTGGAACCCCAAAAACTTAATCGTTCTTGTTTTGTACAGAAGCCTGTTCTAAGGCAAATCCAGAGAAAAGGTTTTTATGGAATTCTTTCCTTCAGTCTGTAATGGTATTCTTGTTCTTTTGAAGTGAGGTTTCAGTAACTAAAATAATTTATTTAAATTTCTATAGATACTTTACCATTTGTATTTGCTTTTCAGTGCTTGGGAACGTTCAGCTTGGCACTAGATATTTTCCCCCCACTTTTACTGCTTATTAAAAGACTGTGATATGATACTGGAACTGAATGATTAGGCTCCTGTTCTACACACACTCTGTTTTGCCTAGTACTGGGATAGTCTTACTGAAAACATTAACCCCTCTGTAAGGGGTCCTAAATTTGTAACTAGTTCTTAATTTCTGAACATTAATTACTAAGGAAAGCATTATCTTCTAATGGCACATACTCGACTTGCCCTAGCCATGTGTACTGATTTTGTTTAAAGATTGTGAATGTATACCCATTTGAATGGAGAGTTAGTACAAATAAACATTTTTGTCTTGGGAATCGCTTTGGTTTCTGTTGTCTCATTTTATATGGCTCACGATTAATATTTTATTCACTTGATGGAATGTAGGTTTTTCTGGATATGGTGTGTGATGATAGCAGAGATGAGATTGCCGTGCAAGAACTTAAATTTTTAAAAGAGCTATTTGATATCCAGATGTCAGCATTTTCATTTCTGTCCATTAGCAAAACAATTATGTTGTCTTTGACCTCTGAAACAAGTCCTTGTCTTCAGTTCCTTGAGTTACTGTGTGAGCCACAGGAGGGCACTGGTGGGTAAGTGACCAATTCCCCCTGCTCCGCAGTTACTTCCCATTTATTTCTGAATCTCCTTAGGTTCCTGTAGGACCACAGCTGTCTTACACTGTGTTCCTTGTATTTGGAGATGGCTGTAGTTCAGGACCAGATGCACTGGAACTGGAAGCGAGAGAAGGAGCTTGCTATAAAACACCCAACGCCTTATTACTTCTGCCCAAGGCCCAGTCTTGCCTGTTGTCTAAGACCCTGCCAGTACAGGGCAACAGCCGCTACTTCAGCTCTTGGACAATATGGTCTCTGAGATCTTTCAGCATCAGTTGGGTTCCTGTATTGTGCATCCAGCCCTGCTTGTTTCTGTTGCATCTTGAAGTTGCAAGAGCCTGGAAAATTATGGGAGCAGATTGTGCTCAGTTCTGTCCGTTTTTATATTAAAAGGAGCAGGAGGCGTCACAAGTGTTTAACCAGGGAAAGGGAGGTCTGCCACTTAGTTGTGGGGCACCATGCTGTGGAAGAAGTATGGGGGTTTTGGTGAGTAGAATAATGCACTGTCTACCTGAAAGCCTCAAGGCATTTCATTATTCCTAATGTCCTAATTCCTCATTTACAAATAGGGATACTGAGATGTAAAGGTGGTTGCCCAGCAAACCTGTGACTGGATGCATTTAATCCCAGTTTTAAGCCAGAGTTCTCAGATTAGGTGATTTCTCATACTTCTAGCTCAAATTTTATTTAAGGGTGCATGAAATCAACTAGCAGAATAAATATGTAGGTATCTAAAACATACCATCCAAAGGGCCTTTAATTCTAGTAAGTCTGAGTCAACAGGAAAGGAAAAACCATCATGAGAGTACTAGGATGGATAAGTTTCTTTCACATGGGCATTATCTTCTGAAGGGGTGGTGCTTTCTCACTAGATCAGTGCTTACAGGCTGGTGTCTTTGGCCATCTGACTGTATGTAGCGCCCAGGCTGGCCCTGAGGTGCAGGAAACATGGCAGACAAGAAGTCAGTTTCCAAGGGCCTGTGCTGCTGCTGATTCATAACACCCCCACCCTGGACTTCACTGTGAGGCTGGAGGTGTATGGATAAAGTACATAGATACTGCAGGGGCTGGTTAATGCTGAAATTAAATGGTGTCCTGGAACATGTAGCACTTCATATTATTAGAAAGTGTAAAACTATTTCTCTTCTGCCTGTTTCCTGCCCACACGGAGTTTTCTCCTGTGATTTGCCCTGAGCTGATAGAAATCTGAGCGCTGAAAAGTAACACTTCTATTGTGAATAATGGATGGGAAGAGTATCTGCCTTCAATCCCAGCATGTGCAAAGGAGAGGTGTTTGGCATTCAGATGAAATGAAACCTAGTTCTCTTACCAGTCTGTGCTAAGTTGATTTCAGTTCCCAACAATACGCTTTGGGTAGCAGCTTTCAGATACTCTCGATCTATCAGTCTAGTCCTGCGCTTGCTGAAAGCAATTGCAGAACTGGATTTTAAGAGGCGAATAGTCGGGTGACGCCCAGCGGAATGGTAGCTCTGGCAGAGCTCCCCATGTCTAAATTGAATTTACCTGTTTGTTATATTTGCTTATTGCCTACAGTATCTGTTTTAGAGAAATGTTGTGAAGGGTAATTGTAGGGAGCACTGGGGACCGATGTTGATTATTTCAGTAAGTTACTAGAAACATGATGAATTACTACATTTAAATGTATGTCCTTCTTGAAACTCATATTGAAGGAATTAGTGAATAATAAAGCACAGCTCTGACCTGTGAGCAATCTTGATTGTTTAGATGGGGGCAACTGCCCAAGTCTGCTCAGTATGACGCATATTGCACTGATGTTGGCACTGCTTGTTGTCACTACACCGCGTGTTTCATTTTCTTACTGGATGGGAGTCATTTAGTGTCTTTCACCCTACAGCTTCCCTTCATATCTCTTCCAGCTTCCCTCTTGTCTTCATGGAGCTGCACCTGTATGTGCTGCTTTGTAGTGAACCTTAAGAAGGGTTCTTCAGATCAAAAGGTGGGGGTGTGTATATGCACACGATTATGCACATCTATACAGGTAACCCCCCACCTACCCTCTGTTGAACGTTTGTGTGCACAAGGAAGCCTTGTAAGGGGCTGGGAATTTTGCGTAGGCTTTTAGCAAGGCCACAATGAGAACCGATGTTCAGCTGCCTTTGCACTAGCTGTGTCCATCCATTCGTTTAGAGCTGCTTGGTCAAGAAGGTAGAGCTTAGATCTTTTCCAGACCATCCCACAGTCTCTGGGATGGCAGTTATCAGCT